GTTTGTAAGTCTTTAATCAACTCAAATTTCCCATAAATTATTATTATTATTTTTACAGTTTTATTATTATTATTTTTTACAGCATGATGAATTCAGTCAACACTAAATGTGTTTAAAATATTAAAAAATTAATATTTGTGTGTATTTAATAATTAAGAAAACGTAATAAGACTTTTGAATGTTTGTGTGCCGCTCACCTTCATCTCCTTCATCTCCGCACTGAAGCGTCAGCGTTTGTCCTGGATGAATGTGAACTGAGTTTTCAGGCCTGACCTGCAGATGCTTTGTCTGACCCATCAGAGTCTCCCGCGACTGTTCAGAGTTTCTCTCATGTGCTGCAGTTTTAGATTTGAAACCAGTGACACACAGAGAATCCCAGAGGACAATCAAAACCAGCAGAGAACTGATTCTCAACTCCATGGCGTCTAGAAGAAAATGTTCATTAACTACAATGTGTTTTTAGTAACCTTGACAGCTATTCCCAATAGTATTGCATTATTAATAATTAAATAAATATTATTACATAATTACATAAATTCTTTGACCAAAGTAAGACATATTATATATTTATGTACAGCAGCCCCAATGAGTACAAAAGTTCATAGTATGTGTCAAATTAGAGAATTTCTCACTGCTGTCATTTGAAGAATGAAATACATTTAAAACCATGCAGATATATGACATATATATATATGACATAAAGTATAGATCAGCCAGCCAAATACTCACAGAATGAGTGTTGAAGTCTGTAGTTTTCTCTATGAGAGGAGTAAAGTACAGTCCTCACATGACAGCTCTTATATTTCATCTCGTGCTCCATGTTTAAAGATTAACATTTTTCTCTTCAGTAATAGACAGGATGTCATGTGCATGAAAATGCCAGTGGATGATTTCCAAATGTTGATATCATAACAGTTGCAGAATATGAGTTTTAGCCAATTAGTTACATTCTTTGCCACTGTGATAAAATTATGCAGAGGAACAAATGGAAATTGATCATTAATCCAGCACTGTTATTTAAGAAAATAAACATTTGATTGTATCCATTCAGTGCAATACAACAGCAGAAAAGTCATATTTGGGTTGTGGAGAGCAGGGAAAACAATGCTTAAAGGGATAGTTCACCTTCAGTTGTTGGTCCCCATTGACTTCCATAGTATGGAAAAAAAAAACACTATGCAAGTCAATGGGGACCAGCAACTGAAGGTGAACTATCCCTTTAATACAAAGAAATAAATAAGGGTTTTCCTTTTGTTGTTGATGTCAAAGTGTGCATATATACATACTTTATGTATTTCAGAACGAATTTATTCATGATTATATTGCTACTAATAATTTGGCCCAGTGTTTGATCTATTTGAATGCATTTGAAAGTTGTATTTTAAGGACATTTTGTTAATTTGGTTCAGGAAACAAGTTTTAAAACTACTGTAAGATGTAAGATTTGGGTCCTGAAGCAAAACCAGTTGAGAACCACTGATTTAGATTGATATATTCTTTCTTTGTTTTCATAAGGAAAAGGGAAAGAGAAAAATGTCTTTCAGACCATTGGTCTAAATGCGTAGAAATTCAAATTATTTCCAAAGTTCATTAGTTGCTGATCTTGTATGGATGTGGCAGATCACGCCGCCCGCCAGTTTTCAGAAGATTCACACAAAAACGCAAATGTAAATTCGTCCCAGCATTTGATTAAATGAAATGAAATTTGATGAACTCATCGTGACCTGCGCTGTGAAAAGTAACAGGTATCACGTGACACTGTCTGCCATCCAGCCTAAGGAAGGAAAGGAAAGGACGTGACATGTGGCCAAGTATGGTGTCCCATACTTGGAATTTGCGCTCTGCATTTAACCCATCCAAGTGCACACACACACAGCAGTGAGTAGTGAACAAACACACACGCGCACCGTGAGCACACACCCGGAGCAGTGGGCAGGGCGCCCGTGGAGCAGTTGGGGGTCCGGTGCCTTGCTCAAGGGTCTCACCTCAGTCGTGGTATTGAGGGTGGAGAGAGTGCTGGATATTCACTCCCCCCACCTACAATCCCTGCCAGACCTGAGACTCGAACCCGCCACCTTCGGGTTACGTCCGACTCTGTCTATATCCATTAGGCCACAACTGCCCCACATTTTTTTTAATTATTATTATTTTGTATATAAAGTTAAGGAAAAGAGGTTACGTAGGGTATTCGTTTTTACTTTTTTATTTTATTTTTATTATTTTTATTATTATTACCTGAGTAGAGATAACGTCCCGTCTGCCACGCCCGTTTTTAACTGCATGTCACAGTAATCGCAATTCTGCCTGCAGCCTGCTTGTTTCAGTTCTACAGCGATCCTCATTACAACATTCACCACACGGTGGCAGCAGGAACCTTAAACATCAGCACAGTGCGTTAAACTATACATTTAGTGTTTTTCTTTCGTTTGTTGACGTGATTTTCTTAGCTGGATATAGAAAACTGGATCCAAAATGACAGCTAAACCCTAAAGAGCGAGTAAAATGCCATCGTGTTTCTCAGAAAAGTTTGATTCTGTGGCTCGATAACCATTTTCACCCTGTGTTTCCTCTCTGATAAATGTTGCAGAAACACAGCTAAGGCCCCTCCCTCAGAGCCCGGAGAACATGAAACACACGAGGAAATAGACACAAACACACAGGCCGTGGACATGCGTGCGTGTGTGCATTATATGGAGCAGTAAACCATAAGAAGCTTCAGTTCATTCCTCAAACAGGAAGAGTTGTGCAGGTAAATGACGGCGTTTAAGGTT